CCAAGCCAAGGGTTGAGATCCCCTTACCGGTCATCTTTTTAAAAAAACAAAACAAAACAAAACACCCCACAAAATTTTAGATTAAGAAATACAACTCTTCACTTTCTCCCTCACCCCCAAACCTGCTTCTCTTCCAGCACTCTCTATCCATCCACCTTGGACAGAAACCTACAGATTACCCTGGACTACTTCACCATCACCCACCCATCAAATTGCCAAATAAGGATCTCTTTTACCTCCAAAATAACTTCCAAATACACTAACTCACCATCCCAAATACCACCAACCTGGGCCAGGTGAACATCTTCTCTGGCTTGAACTCTATTGATGAAACACAAGTAGGTACCTAATTGGTCACCACATTCCTGCCCTTCTCCAATCTATGCTCAAAATTTAATTAAATCACATATTCAAAAACATGGCTATGTTACCCCTTTACTTAAAAAACAATGCAATGTCTTCTCATCGTTACTGGGATAAAGTCTAAATTTTTTAACATGACTTATAAGCCTTCATAATCGATCAGACATCCACATACCTCTGCAATCTTACTTTCACTCCCCTCTCTTCCTTAAGCCATCCTGAATTTTTCTTTGTTCTAGCGTGTCATGACTCTCTGTCTTACCACACCAGCCCTAGTACGTAGCTAATTCCTATGTCTAGAACAAGATTCTATACCTTTATTTATTTTTTATAGCAACTATTATGGAGAGCCTACTCTATGCTAGGTACTAGGAAATATATCAGTGATGACAACAGGCATTCTTTCTGTCCTCATAGAGCTTAAGGTCTATCATGAAAAACAGTCATGAAGGATATGAGATGAGAGTCACAGCACAGAAGGTAAGATGATGTTGGAGCAAATGTCAGAGTAAGTGACTTAACTTCAGAGTCAGTGGAGGCTTCCTGATAAAGTACTGTTGAAGCTAAAATCTGCAGGATGAATTGGTGTTAATTGAGGTAACAGAGGAGTAGGGAGGAAGGAGGAGGTTGGGGGACTGGCAGAAGAAATGTTCCGATGACACAGTTAAATGGAGAATATAAGAATATTAGGAGAAAAGAAATAACGTTTTCTTGTTACAAGCATAAGATATTGGGAACATGTATCTTTGCTGAATATATTTTGTTGTTGGCCTGTGTTGCCAAGGAAAAAAAAATTAAGTTCCTCATTACCATTTGTTGACAACTAAAGTCAGATGGCTCCTCCTTTCATAGATGCTTTTGCAATTTTACAGGAAAAAAGAAGAAGCATCATGGGTGAGAAAGAGACTCTAGATATCTAGAAACTGGTTCTATTCTGATTTTTGCTTATAACCTTGGCCAGATGACTTACATCTGTTCCTCTGTTTTGTCATTTGTAAAAGGGGCATGATAATATTATCCAGTTTACTTAACAGGGTAGGCTCAAAGGAGATAGAGGAACAAAAGTCCAAAGTACCGCACTATGCTTAATGACCTTTTTATATAAGCATTTCAAGCATATTAAACAGTTTCTTGACTCCTGGCAGTTCTCTATGTATTAGTAGTAACTCGAATTTATTTTTCTTAGATTTCCAGCTGTAGTGATAGGGACTGCATTGCCAGTTCCACAACAAGTAGAGAGCCCTCTTCATTACTCTTTAAGGGGAACAGAATTGGATCATTTCTCTTTTCAAAAATGCAATTATTTGAAACAAGAATATTTTGAAATAGAAAATCTGGAAAATTCAGTTATTTTGCAATTTTCCAAAAATAGGTATGTTTCTGCTGTGATGAAATTCCCCAATTTCTCTGATTTTTTTTTATGGCCAAACTAATCTGATCAATCCTTTCTTACTTTTTAATTGAAACTTTCTATCTGACTTTCCAGTGGTGAACTTATTGACTAATATAGCAATGTAAATGTAAAGAAAGTTATACTAAAGTATAACCTCTACATATTTAAAAACCAAGAACTTAGTTAAAATAAAACAAAAAAAATCTTCTAGCTTCACATTACCTTCTTATGTAATGAGATAGACACATGAAATACAACATCATTAGTTTATGGGTTTACTTTGCTAAAAACTTATTAACCCCTGAAAATATTTTAGTTACAGTTTAGTATGTAAGTGTCAAATATCTCTATCACATATATTAGCTTTTTCCTATGTGTTTCTACAGTCACAAATAGGAAAAATATCAAGTTCCCTTTCAGAGTAAAAGTAAAGCTCATTCTAAAATATTTTACAAATGTTGTCAATTGTACAAGTGCTACTTTGCAAAGATGAAGAGTGTGTCTTAAATTCTGAATGCCACTTCTCTTTTTGTTTACTGTCTTTCTCTTTTTTCTATGGTAAGCAATTGGATTTCAAAATATAGGAACTCTATTAAAAATGTCTGATTGTGGGCCAGCCCAGTGGCGCACTGGAGAGGGCGGCGCTCCCGCTGAGGGTTCGGATCCCATGTGGAGACCGGTTCCGCTCACTGGCTGAGCGCCGTGCGGGTGCAACACTGAGGGTTGCGATCCCGTTGCCGGTCCTTGGTACGGGCGCGACACCAAGGGTTGCGATCCCGTTACCGGTCAGTAAAAAACGACAAAAAGGAAAAAAAAAAAGTCTGATTGTAAAATCCTGTTTATGTCTATTTTTAAAACTTTTTTATTGCAAAATTCAGGCACCTTTAGAAATGTTTGATACTTTAATTGCTTTAATTATTTCTATGCTGTTGAGGAGAAAATTTAAAAAGTCATTTAAAAGAAGGAAATAGTTCATGGATAACTGGTTTCTTTAGAAATGGGAAAGAGCGCTTAAGGAAATGCATATTTAGAAATCTCATTTAGTTGATGGCCAATTTAATTCTAATCTATTAGTATATGTTTGAAGGAAATAGAGTGTTCATAGAATTATGCAGTCAGAAGATCAGTGAGCACTTCCTCCTGCCTTCGGTGCAGCACATAGGCCTCTGCAAGAGGAATCAGGAATGTGGGGTTCAAGTCTCAGTTCTGCCACCCACTCTCCATGTGGGTTCACAAGAAAGTCACTTAGCTTCTAACTGTCAGTTTCTCATGTGTAAAATAGAGATAATGATGCCTTTCTTATAAGGTTATTAGGAATAAGTGACACACATACATGAAAAGGTTTTGTTAACAAGAAACTGCTCTACAAAAATAAGTTACAAAACTTATAAAGAACTCAAAGATTCCAATAAGAGAGTCTACAAAAGAAGTTTAGTATATATTTCATGTTCATCTTCTTGATTCCTTTTCACCTGTATATATGCTAAATCCTTCATTAGGTAATAAGCTCCTTAAAGCCATAGTGAGCACATCCCATCCTCTTTGTAGCTCTCTGGATTACTCTCTGGATTACGCTTAACTAACGAATACTCAAAAGGCTTTGTTGACGGATATTCTCCCTTGGTTCTTAGTTCTAATAACAAGTAAGCAATCACTACTTCAAAAGTCTCCTTTCTGGGCCGGCCCAGTGGCGCACTGCTACAGTGTGCCGCTTGGGAAGCGCGGTGACGCTCCCGCGGAGGGTTCGGATCCCACATACAGACCGGTTCCCGCTCACTGGCTGAGCGAGGTGCAGGCTCGGCACCGGCGCTGAGGGTTGCGATCCCGTTGCCGGTCCCGGCCCGGTACGGGCGCGACACTGAGGGTTGCGATCCGTTGCCGGACACGAAAAAAGACAAAAAGGAAAAAAAAAAGTCTCCTTTCACTTATTCTATGTGTAAACTCTTCTGCCACAAATCATGCCTGTTTCCACACGTTCTACCCTCGAAGCTCATGGGGAATTGGCAGGTCAGCATCCACTTAACAAAAGCCTTTATCACTGTTACCAAACTCTCTCCACCTTCAAGGAAGAATCCTTGGTTCTCAGTCTAAATCTGTCCCTCTTGTAATCTAAAACGTGCAGGATTGGCTACACCCTTAGCTCTAGGAAGAAAGGAGTTCCTGCTGGCTCACCAAAGATTCCTAAAGCCAAGTGGTTCCAAAGGAAAGCTCATTCTTGCCTGGCCAAGGGAGAGGACTAAAGTACATCAACATAAAATGGCTGGAGGAAACATGGACAGAGAAGAAAAGAAGGACAGGGGCGAAGACACCAGGATCAAAAGGAAGTGAAATCACACGCACATTCACACGCACGCTCTCGCGCACTCGCTCACACGCACATTCACACGCACACTCGCTCACGCGCACATTCACACACATTCACACGCACGCTCTCGCGCACTCGCTCACACGCACATTCACACGCACACACACACACACGCGCACACTCGCGCGCCGCAAGCCTTCCCGGTGCCACCGCCGCTCCGGGCAGAGCTTCAGCCGACTGGGGCCGCAACCCATCCACGCCGGCCGCCACCGGCCCGCCACCGGCCTCCGCAGCCACCGCCCCGCCCCTTCCCCTTCCCCTTCCCTGGCAGCGGGTCCTGGAGGCCAAACCCAGACGGGCCACTAACCCATTCACTCAGCATCCACCTCGCGCGGGCCACACACGCTCCACAGTTCCCAACACTTGCCCCTAGTCTAGGCCGCCACGAACCACCGGCCAAGCCCTAAATTCATCTCCTCGAAGCCCCAGCCCCTGGCACCGGTGCGTTGTGTGCAAGTGTGTTTGCGTCTCCGAGGCACACACACCGTTTAACTCGTTCGAACTCTCTCCCCATCCTAAACAAACAGCACGTTCTCTCCAACCCCCTCCTGCCTTCTCCGCGCCCCGGCCTCCGCCCCCATCCCGGTCCCGCCCGCCGAATAGCCGAACCGCACCGCGGCGCTCCAGTTCCCGAACCTCGGACCCACCCCGAGCCCCCAATGACACCTCCAGCCCCCTCCCCTCCCCCACACCCTGGCCCCTGGCGAAAGTGACGCCTCGGAAACGCGGTCTGCGCCCCCTCCCCGAGCCCGGGACACGGGGGCGGACCTCCCACCAGCCGGACGGGCACACGCCTTCCTGCCCAATCGCCCTGGAAAACACGGGTGCCGGGGAACGAAGAGGAGCGGAAGCAGCCTCCGCGGGGGCCGGGGGACTCACCGAACATCTGAATGTGCCCTTTGGTGATGGGATTGAAGCTGCCGCAGGCGAGCAAGATAACGTGGGTCTTGGTGGTCTCGGTCATGGTGCGGGCGGGTCCCTCGCGCTGCTCTCGGGGTGGCCTCTCTTTTTGTGTCTCGATATGTCTGCAGAGGGAGAAAGGAAGGCGAGGCTCTGGCGGTGGAGGCCGTGGGCTCCAAGAACAGCTCCAGACGCAAACCGCGTCACTCCCCGCCTCTCCTTAACGCTTGCAGCTCCGGCAGGATCCGAGACCGCTCTTGTCTCCTCTAGGATCTCCTCGCCTCGGTCCCTCTCTCTTCTTTCTAGCTTCTTAAGCGTCTTTCGTCCTGATGCCCCACCTCACCCTTTCTCTTGTCCTCCCTCCCTTCACTCCATTACTTTCTCTTCCTTAGAGTATATCTGCAAGGCAAGACGTGGTGCCCAAGCCCAGAACCATGAATCCTCAAAGCATGGTGTCAAGCTCTTTCTATCTCCTGCCTGCTAATTGTTTTCCTCTCTCACTCTAACGTTTGTCTGTCCCCATCTACTTTCTCTAACGTCTCTAACTTCAAGAGTGTTTGGTATTAATAATTACTTTCTCTCGTCCTCAAAATTGTAAGTGACAAATGGCAATTGTCCACTTCAGAAGTATTAATTTTTGCTTTTCCTTTTCCTCTTATCTGATGATTCTGAACTATTGAACTGAGTCCAAATCTTGACCTAGTGGTTGCCATGAGACAATGGGGACCTGAACTTCCCCTGCTGTAGTGATCCTTTTTGTGAGTGAAGCAATGCGATCAGTTTAAGAGAACATGGACAGGGCAGAATTACTAACGCTGTATTAGAAAATTATTGTGATTCTACATAAGCTACCAAAGTTGAGACAAGATTTATTCACTGTGCGTTAGGTGTTGTTATAAACCCTGCTGATAAGGCACAGTCTCTGTCTTCAAGTTTACATTCCACTGGAGAGAGACGGACAATAACCAGAGAAGGAAAATATTAGACTGCAATTGTGTGATGCACTATGAGTGAATGCAGTTCACTCTCGGACAGAACAGAGAGTGGGGAAGAGTGGACAGAGCATGTAGTCCAGGAAGTCCTCTCTGGGGAAGTGACATTTAAGGTGAGACCTAAATGACAAGAAGGAGTTGCTAGTACAAATATTTTGGGACGGAGAAGGACCTCCTGTTCTCATGGAAATGAAAGAAGGCCAGTGTGTCTAGAGCGTATGGGCAAGGGGAGAATGGTAGGAGAGAAGATTGGACTGTAGTTAAGGCCAAATCAAATAGGGCTTGTAGGCTGGGGTCATGGTTAGATGTTTTTCTAAGTGGAATAACTTACAGTGCAATACCAAAAGGAAGCCATTGAAACTTTTAAGCAGGGGAGTTATAGGTAGTTTACATTTTCATAAGATCACCCTGGCTGCTGAGTGGGAAAGGAGTTCGAGTGGGAAGAAAGGGAAGCATTTAGGAAATTCTGCTGCTAGCCTAGGCAAGTGGATTTATCCTTGGACTAAGATTTATAGAGGTGGAGCTGATGAGAAGCAGATATCTCAGGATGTTTTGTAGATTTCGTAGTTTACAGTCTTTGCAGATGGATTGGATATAGAGGATGAGGGAAAGAGAAATCTAGGAAAATGTCTAAAATTCTGGCTTAAGCAATAGAGGACTGAGATTGAGAAAGATAGGGAAAGAAAAAGTTTGAGGGGTGATCAAATGTTCTATTCCTACACAATAGATAGAACCAATAATTCTTAACTTAGAGATTCACAAGTACAAATATGTAGCTCTCCTGGGCTTCATGCTACTTGGATAAATTTCTACCCCATATTATTGAGTTGGTCATTGTTTCTTATCCAAGAGCATGTAGTAGGTGAGCAGTAACTATTTGTTAAATTTTGCTGAATAGCAAATGAACCCTAATATGCATGAAACTTTTATTTTAAATATAAAAGTCTTAAGAACTGATGTATATTCATAATGGGGTTTGTCTCTTCCCTGACATGAGATGCAGATTAATGGGGTAGAAAGAGCAAGAGATTTTAAAGGAAGGCTGTCTTGGATATAAAACTCTCATACTTACTAGCTGGGCAATTAACATAATTATAGTTAAGCAATAAATATTTAGTAAGTGTCTGCACTTAAATCATGCATCAAACACTGATTTAGGGGCTGTGGACAAAGCAAAGATCCAGCTTACATTCTAGGAGAAAACAACAGACTGTGAACAAATGAATAAACATAATGGTAATAGGTACCATAAACAAACAAAAACAAAAATCAGAGTAAGAAGAAAAGGAAATCCTCTTTTATTGAAGGTGATCAGGAATGGCCCTACTGATAGGACAATATTTGGGCAGGGACCTGACTGAAGAGAAGGAATGTGTCATTGAATATCTGGAGAAGAACATGCCAGGCAGAACAGCAAGTACAAAGGGTCTGAGGAGCAAGAGAACTCGGGAGTGTTCAACAGGCACACACTGTGGCTGGAGAAGAGAAAGAACGTGGAAAGCACTAGGAGTCAGATCAGAAAAGCAGGACATCATATAGGGCCTCACAATTAAGGCTCTGGCTTTCTTGCTGTAAGAGGTGGGAAGCCATTGAAGGGTTTCAAGTGGAGAAGTGGCGTAAGCTGTCTGACATTTGAAAATTATCAATTTGGGAGGGGGTATCAATTTTGGAGTCATCAGTACAGTTTATATTTAAAGTCATGAGACTGAATGAGGCCACCTAGGGAGAAACAGATATACAGAAAGAAAAGAGGCTCTTAGATTCAGCCCTGGGCACAGCATACAGTTTATATTTAAAGTCATGAGACTGAATGAGGCCACCTAGGGAGAAACAGATATACAGGAAGAAAAGAGGCTCTTAGATTCAGCCCCGGGCACAGCAAATTATATACAGAAAGAAAAGAGGCTCTTAGATTCAGCCCTGGGCACAGCAAATAATAGTAGCTCACATTCAATGGATACTACCAGAAACCCAAGCACTATAAGCCGTTTACAGATGTTAACTCATTTAAATGAGTTAAATAACTCTATGAGTTTGTATGATTTTATCCTGTTCTGGAGACGAACATACAGGGGCACAGAGAACTTACGTAACTGGTGTCAGTTCAGACAGCTACTACATATGGAGCCAGATTCAAACCCTGGTACTTTTGATCATAGGCCCTACTCTTGATCCATGACTACTCTCTCATCTTGTTTTACTGCTGTGCTGTATTAACCACATCTGTAAGATAAGGATAACAATACCCATCAAGCCACAGAGATGTGAAGATTAGTGGGAATATATGTGAAAGAGCTAGCCTCTAGCAGATGGTCAATAAATGATAACTGCTTTATAAGTGGGAGAATGAGACTTCTTAGAAGAGATTGAAGAACAGACTAAGAATTACCCTACCAGGTACTGTGATCTGAATGTTTGTGTCCCCCCAAATTCATATGTTGAAACTTAATACCCAATGTGACGGTATTAAGAGGTAGGGCCTTTGGGAGGTGAATAGGTCACGAGGGTAGAGCCTTCATGAATTGGATTAGTGCCCTCGTAAAAGAGGCGTGAGGGAGCTTGTTTGTCCCTTCCAGTGTATGAGGACATAGTGAGAATATGGCAATCTATGAAAAAGCAGGTCCTCACCAAACATCAAATCTGCCAGTACCTTAATCTGGGGCTTCCCAGTTCTAGAACTGTGAGAAATAAATTTCTGTTGTTCATAAGCCACTCAGTTTATTGTATTTTGTTAAAACAGCCCGAAAGGACTAAGACACCAGCTCTTCAGGTTTTTCCTTCCTCTTTATCCAGGAAAAATGGAAGCATGGGCAACAGTATTCAGTGTAACTTGCTGGAATGACTGAACACTCTTTCAACTCTACAAGTTAATTTTAATAAAAAGAAAAAAATAGCCAACTCAAATTTCCATACAGAATAGTGCACAGTAAATATTGATAAATTAAGTACAAAAATCTTTTTACCAGCCGGGTGCCCAGAGAGTAACAATGAGATGTGAATTTACAACACAATGCAATATATATGTTTTCAGCCTTGTCAGTTATATCTTAAGTAATAGTTTAGATTCTGTATATTAGATTAATTGGTTGTGATCTTAATACAGTAGTCTCTCTCCTCTCTCTCTCTCTCTCTCTCTCTCTCTCTCTGTTTGTTTTGGCAGCTGGCTGGTACAGGGATCAAACCCTGGACCTTGGTGTCGGTGTTATCAGCATCATGCTCTAACCAACTGAGCTAACTGGCCAGCCCCTAATACAGTAGTCTCTTGTTTTTTTGTTTTTTTGTTTTTTTTGCTTATCTCTAATTTGCGTATGCCCAAAGAGGCCTGTAGAATTGGAATATGAAAACTTGTAGAGCAAGTGCTGGCTCTGCTACTCGTTAATTGTGTAGCTTTGGGTAAGTCATTTATTGCTAAGCCTTTATTTTGTCTACTAGAACTGTGCCTACCTCTAGGTTGTTAAGATATATGTAATTTTTTTTTTGTCCTTTTTTGAGACCGGCCACACCGCACTCAGCCAGTGAGCGCTGTGAGT